CCTAACTTAACAAACACCAAAGTTATGGCATTTCCGATCAATCAGATATATGGCAGCTATAGGATATAGTCGGCCGATCCTTATGGACGTTGCTATATCAAATCAGGAGGGGATCCTGATCAAGAATATATATACTCTATGAGGTCGGAGATGTCTCCTTCACTGCGTTGCACACTTTTGACCAAAATTATAATACTCTCAGGAAGGGTATAAAGTATGTAACAGGTAGAAGGAAGCGTTTTTGACCCTATAAAGTATATATATTCTTGTTCAGGATCACTAGCCGAGTCGATCTAGCCATGTCCGCCTGTCCGTCTGTCTGTCCGTCTGTCTGTCCGTCTGTCTGTCCGTCCGTATGAACGCTGAGATCTCGGAAACTATAAAAGCTAGAAGATTGGCATTTTGCATGTAGATTTTAGGAGTTCCTACGCAGCGCAAGTTTGTTTCAAAATGGTGCCACGCCCCCTCTGACGCCCACAAGCCACAAGCTGTGGCCACAGTTTTGATGCTATTATGAAAATTTTAATTGATATCTATTTGTGTCGTCAATACCTATCGATTGGCTTAATAAAAGTTTGCCACGCCCACTCTAACGCCCAAAAACCCATTAAACGCTTAAGCCTGGCTAGCGCCTACGTTTCTACATGGGGTAGATGGCGCAATACAATGGCGCCATCTAACGGATGACTTTGGAACAGCTGGCCAAGGTGCTCAACCGAGTCAACGTTTATTCTCGATTAGGATTTCTATTAAAGGAAATTGCGATGGTTTTCATTTGTCAATACCGAACTATATCCCAAGAACTATGCAAACCAAATCAAGTTAGCCAAATTGGAGGTCTGAGTCAAACAATGGCGTATGTGTGTATGCTGGTGCAGGACAAAAGCTGCCTGCGCTAAAGCAGCGCTGGTGCTGATGCTCGTGCTGTAAAGCTGCCAGCTCTAAGAGATCGCCTAATTGAAATTGATAATTTGAACTTTTTGTCCTTTTTTCCTGTGGTTACTCTAATTCACATTACGTTAATGCAAAATCTAAAGTAGTTTAGCTGAGTAACGGGTATCTAATAGTCGAGGCACTCGACTATAGCGTTCTCTCTTGTTTTATTTTAATTTAAGAAAAGATTTCTACATAATGAAAATATCTTCCCACCATTGCAAATTAATCATTTAAAACAAGAAAGGAAGCAAACTTCGGCAAGCCGAAGTTTATATACCCTTGCAGTTATTACAAATCGACTACTTTTCGATTTTTATGCCTATATTACTAAAAACAATGAAGCTATGTCGATTTTGCGCTACATATTGCCATCGTTTCTATGGCAGCTATATGATATTGTTGTCCGATTTTAATTTAATTAAAACCGTAATTCCATAATATTTAAATATTACCAAATCCCAAAGAACAAAAAAAATTAAAAACAAAGTTAACATTTCTGGCTCGTTCCGACTTATACTACCTGCAATAGAAAGACAACTCTTTGGAAAGTTTCAAGCAGATAGCTTTAAAACTGAGGGACTAGTTTGTGTAGAAACGGCCAGACGGACATGGCTAGATCGACTCTCCTAGTGATTCTGATCAAGAATATATATAATTTATAGGGTCGGAAAAGTCTCCTTCACTGAGTTGCAAACTTTTGACTGAAATTAGAATATGCTCTGCAAGGGTATAAAAATGTATACACAAAGCAACTGCAAGAGAACTTGTTATTTTTGCAACATATTCCCCATTGCTAATATGATATTGGTAAAAAAAATTGATTTAATTATTACTTCAATCGAATACTCCCCATATAATTGATAAGTTTTAAAGAAAGTGATTAAGTTCCATTATGAACAATATACCATTAATTTTAAGGATACACTTAAGGGGACCCCCCATTTTCGATTTCAAATTTTGACATATATTATTTTTTAGGCTTGTAACTTTGCATCAATTTATTTAAAATCTTAAAAAATAAGAAAAAATTTAACAAAATATTTTTTTGTTTTTTGTTGTTGTTTTTTGTCATTGAACAAAAGCCCTTCTTTTCGGCGGGGATTTTCGCTTCCTGGAATATCCGATACCAAAAATTCCAACGGGATAAGGAAGAGTAGATGTATGGCTATAGCATGAACTAGGATTATAATGTTATAATGTTTCGAGAAAAACGCGTTTAAGGTTTTGAGAAGCTCTCGCCGTCGCCTAACGCTTCCACCATAAATCGGCCATATCTTCAAAAGTTTTTGATATTTGCACTTGAAATAGTTATAGGTTCAAATTAAATAAAAATAAAATCGATTTTTTGAAACCGAGAATGGGGGGTTCCCTTAAACCACTAACACAGAAAAGTGAGTCTTTATAGATCTTTCCATTTGAGGCTAAATATAACACCCTTGTAAGAGTTCTTCAGACATCGCTCAACTTTTTATACCTTTGCAGAGGGTATTATAATTTCAGTCAAAAATGTACAACGCAGTGAAGTATACTTTTCAGACTATATAAAGTATATATATTCTATATCAGGATCACCATCGATCTAGCCACGTTTCTACACAAACTAGTCCCTCAGTTTTAAAGCTATCTGCTTAAAACCATCCAAAAAGTTGTTATTCTATTGCAGGTAGTATACAAGTCAGAACGAGATAGATCGGGCGACTATATTATATAGCTCCCATAGGAACAATCGGGAAAAAATTTTAAAAAGTATTACTTTGTTGCTTTTAATTTTTTTTTGTTCTTTGGGATTTGGTAATATTTAAATACTAGGGAATTACGATTTTAATTAAATTAAAATCGAACATCTATATCAAATGGTAGCTATAGAAACAATAGAAAAACTAAAAAAAAAAGAAAAAAAATTATTTTGTTGCTTTTCTATTTATCAAAATAATCCTTTGAGATACAGTAATTATTTATTATATCAGAATTACGCTTTTAGTTTTGTCAAAATCGGACAACATTATCAAATAGCTGCCATAGAAACGATGGCAAAATGCAGCGCAAAATCGACATAGAAATCAAAATGTAGTCGTTTTGTAACAATTGCCAGGGTATATACACTTCGGCTGGCGAAGTTTACTTCCTTTCTTGTTAACTGTTGAAATCGATTGCGAAAATTCGCGTCACTTTACTAGCTTTCAGAAGTTAAATACTTGACCCCTTCAATATAATTAATTTCCTCCTATCGAATACCATTCAATTTAGAATAGTTTTTACCCCTCAAGTTAAACTGTGAGTATTTCATATAAAATGTATATAACTAAACTAGTAATAAAAAAAATTTTAAAAATGTAAAACAAAAATTTAATTTCCATAAGAGTAATTTTAAAAATATAGAAATATTAGCCTGATATTTGAAAAACTTTTCTAGGTTTCAGGGCTCCTTGGTCTACATTTTAGAAATGAAATACCATAAAATTTGAAAATAAAATTTAGAATATTTATAAAAGTTGTTTCTAAAATCTAGAAAAGTTACCCTCCCCCCCTAATTAAAGAAATACTTTTCTAAATTTTAGAAAATATTTTTTAATTTTTGAGACTCTCTACCGTAGAATATAGAAAAAAAACGTACAAAAAACGTTTTTTCTTAGTTTCGGAAAAGTAATTTCTCAAATCCAAAAAAGCTCGGGCTAAATTAAAGGAAACCTTTTTTTTCTTAGGAATGTTTTTTTATACTCTTGCAGAGGGTATTATAATTTCAGTCAAAAGTTTGCAATGCAATGAAAGAGACATTTCCGACCCTATAAAGTATATATATTCTTGATCAGCATCACCAAGAGAGTCGATCTAGCCATGTCCGTCCGTCCGTCCGTTTCTACGCAAACTAGTCCCTCAGTTTTAAAGCTATCTGCTTGAAACTTTCCCAAATATTGTCTTTCTATTGCAGGTAGTATATAAGTCGGAACGACAGATCGTGCGTCTATATCATATAGCTCCCATAGGAACAATCGGAAAATAAAATTCAAAAAGATTATAACTTTGTTATTTTTGATTATTTGTTTTTGTTTGGGATTTGGTAATATTTAAATATTATGGAATTGCGGTTTGAACTAAATTAAAATCGGATAACAATATCATATAGCTGCCATAGTCGACACAGCTTTATTGTTTTTAGTAATATAGGCATAGAAATCGAAATCGATTTGTAAAAACTACAAGGGCTAAAAACTTCGTCTTGCCGAAGCTTGCTTCCTTTCTTGTTATTTTTAGGGTTTCTCGCCATAGCCCAATTCGAATGCCCAATACGATGTCATCGAACTCACGCACAGGCGTCCTCAGTAAGTATCTATCTGAAAAAAACATTTTTTATTGTCCTTCTGTTGGATTCGAGCCCTGGTCTCCCGTGCATCGGTTCAACGAAGCTAAGTCGAAAATAAAAACACGAGAAATAGAGTGCAAAATACGATTTTGAAAGTTCCTAGAATCTATTATTTACACAGCGAGATTAATCGGCATATAGCCGTATGGTGAGTATGACAGATATATGGCAGCTATGGAATATAGTTAACCGATTTTAATCCAAAAACCTAAATTTGGCAAAAACCAGCTTTTTATACTTAAAGAAAAGAGCGAAATGTACTATTTTGATCTAATGTTTCCTATGACACCTAAAGGACATAGACGTCCAATCTCCATCATTTTAAAACTTTATCTGCGTACTCATAAAAAAAATCCGATTCCAAAAGTTTTAAATCTCTATGACTATATCAACTCGCCTAGTTATGCTTATCGAGAATCTAAACTCTTTATATTGTTGGAAATGTCTCCTTCACTGCGTTACAAACGTCTGACCAGTTTTATAATACCGTCCGCAAGGGTATAAAAAGGTCGGTGGGTTTGTTGACAAACAGTTAAGATTCAAGAAACTTATCTGCTTGAAAGGGCCCTTTAATATTTCTTTTTCAAGAAACCCACCTGATTGACAGTAAGACTGTTGCAATTGGGTGAACTTTCAATAAATTCGGTGACACTGTAAATATTATTTTTCTTTTTGCTGGCTAACTTGTTTTTCAATCTGAGTATTAAGCTTAAAGCTGAAAAATATTGTTTTATTGTTTTAATAATTTTTATTTGGCTTCTATGGTAAGACTTATGGTTAAACTATTTGTAAGTACAAATCTCTCTGTGTTCAGTGCTTCGGTTATTCGTTTTCATAACTTAATGACAGTTTTGTTTTTATAGCTCTTTAATCTCTGTCTGTTGGCGTAGGCGAAGCTATTATTATTCCGTAATTATACATGTACATATGCGCTATTTTGTTACGACTGCTCACGCTAAACTAAATTCATCTCTAACTATTAATTTTGGGCAATAAATATTAGATACATATAAATACGTATATGCATATCGTTATAAGTAGATATACGCACTTTATGTACATATATAATGATGAATCGCTTAAAATAATAATAATATATTAACAATAATCGTGTGTCTACGTAAGTATATAAGCATAAGATCTAGTACATATTTACAAGTGAACGATAGATCTATAGAAACAACATGGGAGGCAAGAACCAACGGTGAGGTACTGGCAATGGCCAAGAAGCAACTACAAAAATACATCATTTATGCGAATTCCAACAGCCAGGCAGCTTGTCAAACAACATTCTCTAGGCATAATACGTATGCATTCATCAAATCATTTTATTTTTGAGTGGAGTGCGGTTTCCCGATTTTATTCCTATCCAATGCGACTATTCAAGAGTTCTCCGTTCCGGATCTTGACCCGGAAGGGACGTATAACGTGGAAGTTGAATGCTGGGCCATGTTCGTTTCCCACTACCATCCCGTTTCCGCTTTCCCTGAGCAGCCGTTAGTCCAGATTGAGGGGCGGTGTACTGTTCGGGCCGCCCAACATAAACGACGTAGGACTGTGCACCGAGATGCTATCCAGGTCCAGGGCGCCGTCGCCCTTCTCCAGCATACCGCTGCCATCTTGCTTCATCATCATTCGCCGCCACTTGGCCCTTGCATTTTGAAACCAGACCTTCAGAGAAAGAGAATTGTCAGTTAGCGACTAACTTCAGTTGGGATGGTTGCCGGCGGGGATCACTCACCTGTAGGACTCTCTTTGGTAAACCTGTTTTCTGTGACAACTGCTTCAGATCCTTGGCGTCAGGGTTGTGATTAATGGCAAAGTAGGACTTCATGGTTCGCAGCTGGTGATGCTTGAACGATGTGCGCATTCGCTTGGTGCGCGACGAGGAGCTCAAGTGCGAGCCCCGGCCGAAGTCCACGTACTCAGTGTTGAGATCTGCAATCAATTCAAAGAGCCTTGTAGCTTTTCGATTTTTACAGCGCCTTCCGAGTTTTATGAGGCAGGCACATAAAAGCCGATGCTGATGCTGCTGCAGCTTCAATGGCGCCAGTTTTTAGCTTTAGCGGCGGTTCCAGATCCGCTGTGCCGTCATAAAGAGCCCAACCGCATGTTGCCGCTTTTATGACCGACAGCCTGATCGCGAAAGAGCTGGGAATTTACAACGTACCTATGTTTGCGGTGAACGCCTCGATATCCTTGGGCTTGCGCTTGCGAGGCCTGCCCTTTTGGCGAGCCGGCTGTGGGAGTCCGGTGATGACATGGGACGCGGGCACGAAGATGCCCGTAGGAACAATGCTCCGACTAGGGTCCGAGTGCGGGCTCGAGGATTCGTTGTGCGGCGAGCCGAACTGGGCGCTGTACGGGTAGCTGGCGCTCATGCTGGACGAGGCGGCGTCGCCCTCCCTCGCTATACTGTAGTGGGTCCTGCAAGTGGTCTTTAGTAGTGGCGGGCCCTGTACGGTTTGGTTGTGGCTTACCTGCAGTATATGAGCGCGTCGATTATGCCATACTGGTCGCCCTTTGTCAATGGGGAGTGGCAGACGGTGCAGCAAAAGCAGTTGACGTGAAAAACCAGGTTCCGGGCGCGCATCACCAGTTCGTTGGAGCTGATAGAAGCCAGGCAGCGGGAGCAGCGGCGAGTACCAAAAAAACTGCGGACGAGAATATTGATTGTCTGCTATTATTCAGATCATAGGAAGATTTGCAATCCCTTAGCATACCCGCGACTAGTGCCTGACCAAAAAATACTTAATTATGTGGCGTGATTTTGAAGAAATCGGGCCCAGAGACATGACGTGCTTTGTGCAGGGCTGCCCTACGGAATCAGTAATCACATGTTTGGCAGGAAGCTGCTCGCTATTGACGGGTTGCCGCCTCAATAATCATGAGCCACCGCCGGTACAGATCCATACAAGTAAGCCCAATGGCTTTCCCACAAACGCCTACTCATCGGCGTTTTCATAGTCATCGCATGATGATGAAGGTCTGCACACTCGACTCAATATGGTTTCGATCCGTCGCCGGCTACTGTTTTCACTTTCGCAAATGACAGATCAAAGATTACCAGCATCCGTCCGTAATCACTGGGGAGTCGCTGCTTTCGTGCCAGAAATGAGCCAGCAAGCCATCCGCTGGGTAGGTATCCCGGGGAGCCCTTTCTTGGCCCCGCAGACGCAGGGGCTAGGTGAAGTCAAACATCAAATGCGCGAGACATGCGATTTCTTTGACATTAATCAAAATAATTGGCGCATTTCGCTTCAGTTTCAACAACGATCAGCAGACTCATTCTCACATTTTGGAGTGGATCCTTCGAGACATAAGCAGACAAATCAGGGCATAGCAAACACCAAGCCAATTTCAATTCCATACGAATTTATCATATTCATACGATGCGCATTTCAAAAAGGCATTTTCATCCCATTGCTATTACCCCTCCGTCAGCCCCATTCCCCTTTCCCTTCCCCAGCCCCTTTCAGTTCCCGTTCTGCATCTGTGTTTTCGTTTTGTTGAAAATTATTTGGGATGTGACACCGAGATTTTTGTCACATCCCCATGTACCACATCTTGTCGCTACACGAGTCGGTGCGACTATGGCTCTCGGCCGATCTTTCACTTGGGTTCCGTCTCCAAAAAGGCCCTTCAGATGTGTGCATGTACGAATATGTACCTTGTGCTGCTGCGCGGTACGTAAGCCCCATAAATAATATTAAACATGTATTCTGAGGACGGCGACGCGGTCGCAGCTACCAACTCATAAAACTGCTCCAGACCGCAGTTTCGAGCCACTTCCACCGCCCTGACACGCCCCTTCTCCGATTCGGAGAGCTAGGGAGAGTGCGAGAAAAATGAATTATGATTATTGCCATGTAAAAGAGCAGGCGAAATGTCAAAGTGACAACGCCTAATATATGATTATGTTTTCGAGCTCTCGAAATCTGATACTCTCACACACATTTTGGACATTCTGGTTCTCGCTGCCCCTGGAAGTTCCACTTCCAGTTTGTCCTTCTGCTATTGCCTAGGCTCTGTTTTGCGCCCCCAGCAATCCCACATAACTATCATCGGCAAACTTATATATGGACTTTTTCAAATGTTGAATTTTATTTATTGTATGGGTTATATCTGCACAGATAATGTTGACGTCTAATAACTGTAAAACTTATCAAAATTTAAATAAATGATTGACATGGATAGTACCAAAATCATGAGGACTGTTAATTTTAAGCCCACAATTGTATTTAAGTGAGGGTAACATATTTATTATTTCAAATTTACAATTAAGTGACTTAAATGTGGGGACACCAAAACATGTAGTAAAATTCTGGCCCAAACAGCCAGCTGCGCATCATTGGAAAGACTTTTTTCAAGTCCGAAACTTGAAAAGCTAAAAGTCTTGCAAAAGGTAGAAATGTTTAGGCAAGTTATTTTTCTAAGTACAAACATAAAAAAAAGGTAAAACCTCATTGCAGTTTTCAAGTTTTATAATGCACATCGATGTTCTTAAAGATTTATCAGTATTCAGCATGATTTAATATGTTTTTTTTGACCGAATCAAGAAGATCGTTGTAAAAAACTATGTTCTGAAGAACTGAAATCTATATTTCTAAAAATAAATTAAGTCATGTTAATGGGCACCAAAGGTGTGCGAAAGGCGACTATAACATAAACACAGAATTGAAATTCTGCTGTGATAGTCCGATCTGAGCCAGTATACCGATCGAATGGTACGCTCCCCTAAACTAAGTTAGGGTTGTTTTATTGTGAAACAACTAAATCAAACTGTTTTCAAAATTAAAGAAGCTGCAACTTAAAAAAAAGCTTATAAAGGGTATTTATAATGTTAATGTATAATGTAGAAAACTTAAAACGGATTACAATTAGTACGAAATTATACCCAACAAGAAGGAAGGCAAACTTCGTCAAACCGAAGTTTATATACCCTTGCAGTGATTATAAAACGACTACGTTTCTATTTCTATGCCTTTATTACTAAAAACAATGAAGCTATGTCGATTTTGCGTGCATTTTGCCATCGTCTCAATGGCAGCTATATGATATTGTTGTTCGTTTTTGACAAAAGCGTAATTCTGATATAGAAAATAATTAATATATCTCAAAGGAATATTTTGATAAATAGAAAAACAGCACAATACATTTTTTCACTTTTTATACCCGTTACTCGTAGAGTAAAAGGGTATATTGTATTCGTGCAAAAGTATGTAACAGCTAGAAGGAAGCGTTTCCGACCCTATAAAGTATATATATTCTTGTTCAGGATCACTAGCCGAGTCGATATAGCCATGTCCGTCTGTCTGTCTGTCTGTCCGTATGAACGCTGAACGGAAACTATAAAAGCTAGAAGATTGGCATTTTGCATGCAGATTCTAGGAGTTCCTACGCAGCGCAAGTTTGTTTCAAAAAGGTTCCACGCCCCCTTTAACGCCCACAATCGCTTATATACGATTTTAAAAATTTATATATTTCGGAAAAGTAAAAAAATTTTTCAAATCGGACCATTCGTTAAAAAGTTATGCGTGATCAAAGTTTCTATCTCCATCTCCCTCGCACTCCCGTTACCTGAGTAACGGGTATCTGATAGTCGGGGCACCCGACTATAGCGTTCTCTCTTGTTTATTTTTAATTTTTCGATTTTCCTGTTGGAGCTATCTGATATAGAATTAAAACCTTAATTCCATAGTATTTAAATATTACCAAATCTCAAAGAACAAAAAAAATTAAAAACAAAAAGTTACCATTTTAAAATTTTTTTTTTCTCATTAATAATTAGAACATTTTTGTAAAAATATTAAAGTCAATTACTTTGACATCGTATAAGTACTTAACGTATGAATTTGTCTGACAGCAAGGGTAACTATTAAACAAAAATTAATATGTCTTGTAAGCTTCTCGGAAACTGTTGTTTAATAAATAATAATTAAATCAAGTCCCATTTATTCGTAAATGAATACTCCAATAAATGAGTTTTAAGAATCGAACTTTATTGGTCCGTATTTAGCAGCCCATTTAATTGGAAATCTAAAATGGGGAGGTCACCTTTTAAAAATGTTCTTCACCATGTCTGTAAGAGATTTACAAATTATTTTATAAACTAAAAAATTGTACAGAATGATATAGAAAATATAAAATCAAAATAGTTGAGAAAAAATGTTCGTAAATTAACATCAATTTGTATTGGCATAGTTTTTTATTTCAAACGCGTGGTCTTTATTCAATACCATGTTGTCTTGACTCAAGACAAATCGATCTTGACTTCCTTTGAATACCATTTGCTCTTAATTCAAGACGATTTTCATGACTTTAGACAGCTTTTTCTCCGCTCGTGTTTGATAAGGCTTCTTTCGAACAGAAAAAGGTCAAGTCTCCGCTTTTATTATGCAAATAGACCCTAGCTAAACCCTAAGTTCAAGTCCCGGCTGAAACTTCGGCACTTGGCAGAGGGCTGGCTGAACTCTGTTTGGAGGGCGAGTGAGTTGCGCTATGCGGACTGAAGTGAGTAGCGACGTGTGGCCCGGCTGGATGCTGCGATAACACCGGGTTTGCATAGGAACACGGGCACGGGAGGGCAGGGCGGCGACGCTTTGTAACGTGAGAGCATTTGTAGCGCGTTGAGGGATTGCACGTTGAGGTCTCAAGTTCCACCCGCTGTGTTCGGCTCTTCCGATTACACATGTGCAAGTTCACCGGTAACAACAACAGCGGATTTCCCAGACGCCACGCCACCACCGACAGCAACGGCTTCCCTTCCCGTCCGCCAGCTATCGTGAGACCGCTTCGAGCGCTGAATCCTGCCCCGAGTCCTAGCCCTACTTATTGCCCCCTCCAGCCGATGATGACGTCCTGTGGCGCTAATTCGATTCTAGACCCTCGACCGTTGCCTGTCTGAACTTATACAGTAATTATTCGCATTTCTAGTTCGGTTTTTTGGTTTGTTTGGTTTTGTTTTTACTACATCTGTAAGTTTCGAGTCGATTTAAGAGTTTTATGGAAAAGATTTGTGTTTTTTACTTGTTTAATGCGGTGGAAAATTAGTTTGGATTGCTATCTATTGGACTTGTGCGTACAACTAGCATATTCCTATGGCTTGCCCCTGCTGTGAGGTGGTGTGGTCCCAGCAAAGTGGCTTTGAACGCAACCACTCAGCGGACAAGCCGACTTAATAGTTTCATTACCATTCGCATTTGCATTTCTAAGCGCTCTCTTCCGGACTCCAAGAAACGCAAGCCCATGCCCAATTCGAAAATGTGTCTATAATGTTGTAGTCAAAATGATTAGATAAGCTCCCCATTGTTAATTTGTGGCGGGTGGAACGGATCAGCTACTTGCCGTCTGCCTCCACTTTGCTCTTTGCCAGGGAGCTCTTGCGTATGAATTCGGCGTAAAATCATTTCTGAAGATGCCCATTAAACATTTTAATTATCGCGCGGTCTCTACGTTTATGTTTGCTCTTGTTCCCAAACCAAGTCACCCAATGTCCAGGTGGCAGCAGTAAGCCCAGCTAGGCGTTGCTCAGCCAAGCGAGTGACCTGCGTGCTGCAGAAGCGGAGGTGAAAGTACCACTGTGGGATCGATGCATGGTTCCCTGGCAAAACAAACTCCAGACCAAGAGGCGTCTAAGTAGGTAAATGTATTT